TATCTTCCACATTTACTCCTGCAAAAAAAAAAAAAAAAAAAACAAATGAATACTGAATAAAAGTATCCGATTGATGGTCTAAAATGTTATTTAATTCAAGAGCTTCCTCGTCACATTCAATACGTGATTTATATAAATATAAATACCGGTCCTTTTGGCGATATCAACTATCCTTTGCAACGTGTCCGATGGCGGAGATGGTTCCGGTCGATCCCAGTCCAGCACATCGTGCAACGAATGTTTTCTGCGAGGCAGATGAAACCCAGAACCGGGAAGCGTCAAGCTGCTAGTCATGATGTCGCCGTTATAATGATTTATGACCATGTTATCAGTCCTGGAAAGAAGTTTCGAGATCTTAGCAAGGTGAGAACACGCATATGGAGGAAATGACGAATGTCTTCAACTTACTTGCCCGTATGTGGTACTTTGTACTTGTTCAAGAGAGCTCTAATCTCGGCAATGAATTGCATTTTATGCGGAAACACAGGTAACTCTTCCGGAAATTGGCTACTTTGCTTATCTATATCTACATAACAAAGATTTGCCTGTAATCAAGAAACGGAACAGAAGGATCTTAACTAAATCTCTTCAAATGCACCAGGCATCGTCTGGTTGTAATAAAGATATTCCTCAGAGGAAACATGCAACTGCTGAAGAAAAGCAGCCATTCAATTTAATAATAGCAGCGTCTAGGATATATTCCTTTAATCAGAGTGATCTGATTTCATGCGTTTAATACTCATGATTTATGACAGAATAATAACAGATATTCAATTATAATAACAGTATAATGGAATAATAATTCAATAGCAGAATAATAGAATAATAATGATGATAGAATTTAATAATAATAACAGAATAATAGAATAATAATGACGATAGAATTTAATAGTAATTTAGTAGCAAAATAATGATGATAGAATTTAATAATAACAACAGAGTAATAGAATAATAATGATAATAGAATTTAATAGTAATTTAGCAAAATAATAATAATAGAATTTAAAAATAATTCAATAGCAGAATAATAAAATAATAATGATGATAGAATTTAATAGTAATTTAGTAGCAAAATAATAATAATAGAATTTAACAATAATTCAATAGAAAAATAATAGAATAATAATGATGATAGAATTTAATAATAATAACAGAATAATAGAATAGTAATTTAGTAGCAAAATAATAATAACAGAATTTAACAATAATTCAACAGT